TGTGTGTGTGTGTGTGTGTGCTTTAAGCTAGTGTGCAGCTTCTTTTAGCTTTTGGCTCATGTTCTGAAGTCCTTCAGCACTCAGCATTCACACAATTTCTGTAGCTATTGGTGTCTGTGTGAGGGTGTAAACTTCCTCTGGGCTCTGTTTGTTTGTGTTGCGCTCCCCAGCAGCAGCTGCAGGTCGGTCTGGTTTCATACCTGTTTCCTGTAAAGCAGCTGCATCTCTGCGCTGCAGCACACTGTTCAGCATCTGCACCAGCTCTGTGTTGATGTTGGTCACCACTTCACCCAGTAAACCCACGTCAGCAATACCCTTCCAAAAGTTCAGCGTGTCCTCTGTGGACGAATGGACAAGTCTCAGACAGGAGACGCACTCTGCTAACGTCCTGTTTACTGTGACGAGTTGCTCTCTGACCTGAGATCTCACTGCAGCCGTTCTTGTCTGCAGATTCTAAAGAACTTGAGCTCCAGTCTGACTTTCTGCCCGGCACATCGACTCCATCTTCAGTCGCTAAACTGTCGTTCCCTAGAACCACGTGAGCTGCAGTTACACAAGAGAGCACACAAATGAACAGATAAGAAGCTGCCTTTGAGGCTAAAATGCTGATTATCAACACATCTATCACACCTACAGTCAGCAATGATTCCCAAACGTGGTCCTTGAGGAACACCACTTTAGTTGTTTCCCTGCTTTGACACACCTGATATGAATAAATGTGTGATTAACAGGCCATGCAGAACTTGAGGAAGTAATTAAATCACTGAATCAGGTGTGCTGGAGCAGAGAAACAACTAAAACGTGCAGGATGGTGTTCCTCAAGGACCAGGGTTGGGAACCACTGAGCACAACAGAGGTGAAGGTGAAGCTGTGCTTTATGAGTTTTAATGCATTTGGTAAGTTATGCCATCTGATGGGCTCTACATATAGTTTTTATTTCAGCTTGTTCAGCACAATTTACTCTTAGGCCAACAAATGTTTTATGGCTGTATAAAACACGTTTATGCTCTTAGAACAGATGGCGGTAAAAACTGCCTTTACTGCTTTTTTTAATCTAAAACATTTTATTGCAACAAATTACAGCAGCAAGTTAATTGTTTAGTAAAGTTTTATGTTTTGTGCGTGCTACTTGTTTCTGTTTGCAGTGTGTGACAGAGTGCAGAGGCAAAACTCTAATAAAAATCTGAAGTTTGCTTACTCAGTAAACACCATCATGGATAATTTTAGCAGCTTTCTGTGTTAGAATTACAGTTTTGTGTTTGATTGCTGCATTTCCCCCGTAACTTTACAAAACTACATTTCTTTTTGGAGGAATGGAGTGGAGCAACATCACACAAGAAGGGTTTGAGCTAAGCCTCTGATATTTGTGGATTTCTTTGACAGTGAGACTGAAAACTCTGGCTCTGAGCTCAACATAGATGGCTAAGTAGGAAATCTACTTTCTGAGTTCCCTTAAAAAAACACACACACACAAAGGTCTTTGGGATAACGTGAAGTTGACAAAATGTACTAAATAAATTTTTTAATAAAGTTCAACTAATAAAAATGGATCACTGTTCAAGAAATTTGGTTCAACAGATTTATTAAAAAATATATTAAACTGATAAAAGGATGAAACGCTCAAAACTAATTTGACCATAGAGACATGTTGGTCTAAGGTGTGTCCTGTAATTACAGTAGTCCCTCGCTACTTCTCAGTTCGACTTTCGTGGACTCACTCTTTCATGGATTTACAACGTAAGATTGTACGACACACAATTTGACTGATGGAAGGCGATCAACCAGAGCATTGTGAAGAGGAGCAGACTGGCCATAGGGAGAACCGGGACATTTCCCGGTGGCCTGGCCCGCTCAGTGATCGCCGAGGGGCTCTGCTGGGACCGACAGCCTCAGAAAGAGAAAGGAGGGGGTGGGGTCTGTCTTTCCCCATCATTGCTGTGGGAGATTCAGTGAGGAGGATACCTGAGTGAGCAGCATGGATTGTTTATTTAAAATAATCAAGTGCGACCTGAACCAAGCCTTTGGTCCAGCCCCTCAGCGATCACGGAGCGGGCCAGGCCACTGAGAAATGTTCCAGTGCTGCCGATGGCTAGTCTGCCCTTGGGCTCAGTAACTGTTGCATCAGTCTGTCTGCTCTCTTTCACCATACTCTTTGAGATAATTTAGAAAGTTTAGAACATTGTTAAGAACATTCCAAGAGTGTGGGAAGGGTTTATAAAGCCTTAAATATAAATATAAATACTAAAATAAATATAACTTTCCTACTTCGCGGATTTTCACCTATCACAGGAGTGTCTGGAATGTAACCCCCATGATAAGTGAGGGACTACTGTATATCATGAGTGTTTCAATCTTAAGTCTGCTTATTTAAAAGGTGAAAAAAGTCACTGTGCTAATTTGGTATCATGGTGTGGACTAAACTGAACATGCACCACACACAGATAAGGATAGCTACAACGTGAGTAAATACTCTTTATATACGGCTCTGCTGAGGGCCGAGCAGCAGCACTGCTGCTAATGGCTAAACAACTTTTCATCGTAACATGTCCGCTGTGTATTTTACACTAAACCCCACAAGACAGCAACGTGCAATGTCTGCAGAGCCGCTGTACCGAGAGGGGGAAGCTTGGTCGCGACCTACAATACATCAAACTTAATAAACATTTGAAAATGCACCACATTAAAGAGCATGAGGATTGTTAGGCCAGGCACCGCGGTAAAGTTAGTTTTATGTTGGACGTTCGAGCTCCATGGCTTCAGCGGTGTGTTCGTCTCGTTCAGTCTGGAGCAGACAGTCTGATTTCAATCAGCTGTGCTCAGTCTGCCCGTCTCGGAGGAGCAGACTGAGCACAGCTGACTGAAATCAGACTGTCTGCTTCACAGCTTGATTGAATATTTGCAGCCAAGATATAGTTTACATTTACCCTCCAGGAGATATTTATCAGCTCAAGATGAGTTCTGTGATGGAGTTAAATTCAAAGCAGTCTGCTCAGATAAATAGTCTTAAATTATTATTTTTATATATGAATGTTTCTGTTAACTTATTTTAATGTTCCTGTACAGTGCCCTGAAATGACTTCTGTTGTGATTTGGCGCTATATAAATAAACTGAATTGAACAGACAATCATAAAAAAAGCATATGAACTGAAAAATAAAAGAAAATTATATATATATATAAAAAGAAACAAAAACAGCTACATTATAAAGCGATGTAAAATACTAAAAATAGGAACATGTCTGTGTTGGTTTATGCCATGAACTTAGCAGATGTTTGACGCCATTTAATCACTTTAATATCCACTTTAAAGATAGGAATAAAAAAAATTTAAAAAACATGTTTTGTGTTAGTAGAATTTAATTCTAACTTTGAAACTTATTCAACATTAATAAAACTTACCTCAAATTGCCTTTTTGAACATACATGCATAAATTTGTACAAATTGTACTTGAGAGAATATTATTACAGCCTTATAAAATCAACTATGATGATGATATCAGAATAATATCGGTATTGACTGATATCCAGATTTAGGTATCGCGATCGGATCGCAAGTTAAAAAAAAGTGGATCGGTGCATCCCTAGTTAAAAGTAAAGACTATATAAGACCACCTTTAAGCAGCTTCCTCTGACCACAGCTGCACAGATTATTCAGAGATTTAAGGTTCTCAGGACTGTAGTGAACCTTGTTGGATGTAGACACAAAAGGAAAATGATGACAAATTGAAAAGAGAGATGATACAGATGGAAACCAAAGAGCCCATAACAACTTTTAAACAGATTAGAGGTTAACTTTAAGGTCAAGGGTCATCCATGTCATATTACACCATCTGTTAAACTTTGAGATGAAGTAGACTTAACAGAAGACAGTGCAGGAGGACACCGAATCATAAAAATGAGACTGGAATTTACTAAATCTGTATAGATAAGCAAGAAAACATTTTAAATAATGTCCTCCGGATAGATGAGGAAATAAACTATGGTTCAGTGTTTCCCTTAGGTTTTTGACCCACAAAGAAGTGTGTGTGTTTGTGTGTGGGGTGGGGGAGTCCATAAATTGGAATTTTCAAATAAAACAACCCTCATGGTGTGTGGTTTATGAGTCAAAATGTGATTACAATTTAATTTTTTTTTTTTTTTTAACTCCTAAAAGTTCACTTCTACACCGATGACTGTCAAATTTACTTCCCCCTAAGTCACAATGGAACACGCTCCATTCAACCTCTGCTTGACTGCCTGGCTGACGTCAGAGACTGGATGGCTTTAAATTTCTTACATTTCAATGAGAAGATGTCTGAAGTCATGCTGTTCCCTCCCAACAACACGATCATCGACCACTGCATCGACCTCTCCACTCTAGCCCCATTAGAGAAACAAAGAGTCACTAATCTGGGAGTGATAACGGACCCTTCCTTGAAACTTAACAGTCATGTAAACATGATTGTTAAATCCTGTTTTTTCCAGCTGAGGCCCATATTGTCCAAAAATAACCTGGAGACAGTAATACATGCATTCATTACATCCAGACTAGATTACTGTAACTCACTCCTGTTTGGTACTGGTCAGACCTCTATTGCTAGATTACAACTGGTCCAGAATGCAGCAGCCCAATTTTTAACCAGTACAGGCAAAAAGACAGCACATTACACCAGTTTTGGCCTCACTGCACTGGCTACCGGTTCACTTTCGTATCCAGTACAAAATACTCTTGAATGTCTATAAATCACTGAACAGCTCTGCCCCCTCCTGTCTCACTGATCTGCTGCAGCCATATGTCCCACCGCATTCTCTGAGGTCTGCGAACCAGTTGTGTGTCACAGTTCCAGGAACCCGTCTTAAGCGCAGAGGTGACAGGGCCTTCTCTGTAGCAGGACCAAGACTTTGGAACGAGTTACCTCTTCTTGTCAGGCATGTCCCCTCCCTCACAGTTTTTAAATCCCACTTAAAAACCCACTACTATTCCCTGGCTTTCAACACTGTATGATCTGTGCTGAACCTGTATGCATCACACTCTGTTAGTCATTATGTTATTATCTGCTATTATTTTGTTTCTATATTTTGATTTTATGTTTTATGGTATGTGCTGCTGTGTGCTTTGCCTGTTTGTTTCTGTTTGTACGGCACTTTGTTGGCCCTGCCGCTGTTTAAAGTGCTCTATAAATACAATGGTATGGTAAAAGTTGACACTGAAAGGGTGTTTTTGCCCTAATTAAACTTTTGCAATTCATACAGGTGATATTTTAAAAGGTTTAGCACAGTAGTACTGTGAACAGTAAAAAATAACTTCAACATAACCATTTACTTTGCACGAATGATAGATCCTGAGAAAACAAATAAATATGTGTTAGTGTAATCATACCGTAGTTCGATTCCAAGAATAAGAAACTGAGTACCTGAGAGAAAGACTTTAACAGGCTGTGCGCTCCCAAGACAGCACCCTCTATGCTAGTTGGAGTTTGGTTGTGGATGTGTGTGTATGCTAATGATGTAAACATTGATCTTCTTTTTCTTCTTCTTTTGGCTTTTCCATGTTCAGGAGTCTCCACAGCGAGTCATCCTCCTCCACCTCACTCTGTCCTCACTCCAACTACCTCCATGTCCTCTCTAACTGCATCCATGTATCTCTCCTTTGTCTTTTTCCTGTCAGCTGCATTTCTAACATCCTTCTACCAGTATACCCACTGTCCCTCCTCTGGACACGTCCAAACCATCTCAGTCTGGTCTCTAACTTTATCTCCCAGTTGTTCAACCTGTGCTGTACCTCTGATGATCTCATTCCTGATCTTATCCATCCTTGTCACTCCTAAGGAGAACCTCAACATCTTCATTTCTGCTACTTCCAGTTCTGTCTCCTGTCTTTTTCTCCATGTCTCTGTCTCCAGACCATACAACATAGCCGGTCTCATCACTGTCTTGAACTTTTCCTTTGGCCTGTGCTGACACCATTTTGTTGCAAATACAAAGTAAAATTTTAGGTGAGGGAACAGCGTGGGAGGAGGGAGCAATGATATATTGGCTTTAGTGTTTCCACTGCTACACAGAATTGGTCACATGTGAACAAGTACAGACATATATTAATTTACTACCAGGTGGTTCCGTTGGGATGGAGACCCACCCTCCTTGGGTAATACTAGGGGAAACATTGGGTTTTTTGGCAACAAGACTCTGCATGTTTGTAGTATTCTGTGCTCTCACCTTGAGAGGATGTGGGTGAAGTAAGGCCAGTGCCGTCTGGAGGAAAACGAGTGTTGTTGATTAAAAGGTCAAACTTGGTGCTGCGACACGTGTTGGTACAAAGTGTGCTGTGCTGGTAGAAGTCCAGCTGACCCGAATCCATCATTTTTCTGGAAAGCATAAGAAAGGAAAAGATGAAAAACAAAGAAACTGCCTCCTCTCTCCAGGCCACAGAAAACTTTCAATTTATCATTAAATATTAATTTTAGAAGATCAAGACTCATTTGTGCAGTAAAGTATTTATTTCCTTCACACAATGCTCAATTTAGATTTTTTGCTCGACCCATCCATCCATCCAACAACCCGCTTCTTCGTTTTCGAGTCACAAGGGTCACTGGTGCCCAAATCCAGCCATCACTGTGCGAGGGGTGGGGTAAATGGACTGTACTTATTTAGCACCTTTCTATCTTATCGAGATACTCAAAACACTTTACAACACAATCTGTGTCCTCATTTACTCATTCATACAGCACTCTACTAGATCTACACAAAGAATAATCAGTGCTTTATCACATTCATACACCAATGGGACACACATCGGAGGAAATGAGGGGTTCAGTGTGTTGTCCACAGACACTTCAGCCTATGACCCCATCCCCAAGGGTACATCCTGGACAGGTCTCCAGTCCATCACAGGGACACATAGAGACAATCAACCATTCACTCTCTCTCTCTCACCTAGAGACAATTTACAGTTACCAATCAGCCTAACATGCATGTTTTTGGTCTGTGGGAGGAAACCGGAGTACCCGGAGAAAACTCATGCATGCATGGACAGAACATGGCAACTACACCCAGAAATATGATACAGTGGTGTCAGCCCCCAGCTGACACCACTGTATCATATGTTGGTGTAAAATCTCTGTCATTCAGAACATGCGTAAAATAAGGTAGATATGAATTAAGGTCAGTCCCTAAACCCAAGTTATGACATGGCAACCCAATTTTTGATAGTGACCTTTTTTACGCATAGATGCAGCCGCACACCAAGATGGAACTCAGCACGTTGCTTATTTTTGACGTTATCCAGCTTACAAGGTTTACATTTACCGTATTTTTCGGCCTTTACGTCACATTTTTTTTGCATAATTTGTATACCCTGCGATTTATACACCGAAGCGACTTATTTGTATTATTTTTCCATATTTATAAACCAATTTTTGGCTGAGATATGACCGTTTTCATTCATTCTGAATTACAACATTGAACATTACCATTTTCAGCCGCTAGATGGCACTCGAGTAGTATGACATGCCGTTGTATCATGTAATAGGTAAAAAGTGGATATTAACGACACGATCAGCTTGCCATGGCCTGCCACTGTTGTCTGCCTGGAGCAAACATCAAATCAGCTGCATTTAGCTGCACCGCCCTGGCAAAACGCAGCTAATTTGACCACTGAAGTGCATTTATTAAGTAAAAGTTCAACTGAGACACACCTTTGCTATAATTGTGAGCAAACAAATAATTGTTTTTAAGTGTTAATCTTGTTAAAGTCTTGGTAAAAATCCTCCCATGCATGCTCCCGCAGCTGCCATTTGGCAGCCAATTGATTTTTGGCACAACACCGGCCCACATTTCTCGGGTTGTCAGCAGTGACACATAATAGATGTGACGTATATGGCGAAGTGACATATTTATGGATTTTTTCACTTTATTAGACATATTTGGACTGAAGCGACTTATAGGGTGGTGCGACGTTTACGGCGGAAAATATTGTACATTTGGTACAAATTGTACAAATATGGTACATTTATATTGTGGAAGCCATATTGGTTTCTGATGTGGCAACCTGGTTTATGAAAGGAACATTTATTATGCCTACATCTTCCCACGCATCAAAATGGAAGTCAGTACCTCACTTAATTTTCAAGTTGTCATGCTCACAACATACACGGACTGAGGTATTCTCAATTTCCCCTCTGCTCCACGATGGGAGACAAAAAAAAAAAGATGAAGCTGCTGGACTTCTATTCTGAAGCTGAACTGCATGAAGCCGGTATCAATATTCTCAATCTCACCTGAAATCTCATCCGAAAGTTTTAAGAAATCTTTGCTACAAAAAAGAAGCGTTTCTACAAAATTTTTAACCCATCCAGAGGACCTGACTTGGTTCTACCTGAATTATTGAGCATGCATCAGGACAATATTGTCAGTATTTGGATTGATCCGCATACCTCGATTTTAATGACGTAAAAGATGTGACAGGACTGTTCAGACTGAGGTCGCTTTGAGAAAAACACTGAACATGTATCCCAAAGTGGAATGGGTCAGATTTAAAAAATTTTTTTTAAATTACGCACAGATTGTCATAAAAGAAATCAATCATGGGTTGCATATGTGCAAAAACGCTGAACTTGGACAACTTTGGGCCTGAGAGACCGTGAACATGACAGTTATTTTGTGGTCTAACACTTTTCTTGAACGTGCATTTTTATTTCCAGAGTAATTCCTCTCACCTTAGCATGACTCCCCCCATCCTGATGGCTCTCTTCCAGTCTTTGAGAGTGGCTTTTCCAGATATGTGCACAAACTGCTTTGGACTAATCAGCTGGTCTTCATACTAAAGAAAAGAGAGACATCTACAAGTCAATGCAAGTCGTTTAAGAAATACAACAAGAGAAAATAAAAATTATCTGCCGTCTGGCACTGACTCACACTGGTGCTTGAAAGTTTGTAAACACAATAATTTTCTATATTTCTGCATCAGTCTGACCTAAAACATCATCAGATTTTCACACAAGTCCTAAAAGTAGATAAAGAGAATCCAGTTAAACAAATGAGACAAAATATTATACCTGGCCATTTATTCATTGATGAAAATGATCCAATGTTACATATTTGTGATGGTAAAAGTTTGTGAACCTCTGGGATTATCAGTTAATCTGAAGGTGAAATTAGAGTCAGGTGTTTTCAATCAATGTGATGATGATCAGGTGTGAGTGGACACTGTTTGATTTTAAAGAACAGGATCTATCAAAGTCTGATCTTCACAACATGTTTGTGGAACAAAGGAGATTTCTGAGGAGCTCAGAAAAAGAGTTGTTGATGCTCATCAGGCTGGAAAATGTTACAAAACATCTGTAAAGAGTTTGGACTCCACCAATCCACAGACAGATTGTGGACAAATGGAGGAACATCAAGACCATTGTTCCCCTCCCCAGGAGTGGTGGACCAACAAAGATCACTCCAAGAGGAAGGAGTGGAACAGTCTGTGAGGTCACAAAGGAGCCCAGAGTAACTTTTAGTAACTGAAGGTCTCTCTCACATTGACTCATGTTCTTGAGTCCACCATCAGGAGAACACTGGACAACAATGGTGTGCATGGCAGGGTTGAAGGAGGAAGACCCTGATCTCCATAAAGAACATTGCTGCTCATGCAGTTTGATAAAGATCACGTAGACAAGCCAAAAGACAGTTGGAAGAATGTTTTGTGGACGATGAGACAAAACAGAACTTTTTGGTTTAAATGAAAAGTTTATTGTTTGGAGAAAAGAAAACTGCATTCCTGCATAAGAACCTGATCCCATCTGTGAAACATGGTGGTGGTAGTATCATGGTTTGGGCCTGTTTTGCTGCGTCTGGGCCAGGACGACTCGTCATCATTGATGGAACAATGAATTCTGAGTTATATCAGAGAATTCTGAAGGAAAATGTCAGAACATCTGTCCATGAACTGAATCTCAGGAGAAGGTGGGTCATGCAGCAACAATGATCCTCAGCTCACGAGTCGTTCTACCAAAGAATGTTCAAGAAGAATAAAGTTCATGTTTTGGAAAGGCCAAGTCAAAGTCCTGACCTTAATCTAGTCCAGATGTTGTGGAAGGACCTGAAGCAGCAGTTAATGTGAGGAAACACCAACATCCAGAGTTGAAGCTGTTCTGTGCAGAGGAATGGGTTAAAGTTCCTCCAAGCTGGTGAGCAGGACTGATCAGTTACTGGAAATGTTTAGTTGCAGTAATTGCTGCATTGGGGGGGTAATCACACCAGATACTGAAAGCAAATGTTTGTCACTCACAAATACAGTAGTCCCTCGCTACGTCACGATTCGTTTATTGCGGACTCGCTCTATCGCGGTTTTTCAAAATAAAATTGGACATGACACAACTGGCTGACTGAAGGAAGAGCTGCACGATCGGCATGGAATTTTTATTTAAAATAAATTGTTTTAAATTATTTAGCACCTGCTGCACAGCATGCAGCCCACACTGAACTTCTCAGCATCTGAAACTTGTGGAACATCCATCGATCATCTTTTACCTGCTTATTCCATTTTGGGTCACGGGGGTCGCCGGTGCCCATGTCCAGCAATCACTGTGCGAGGGGCGGGGTACACCCTGGACGGGTCGCAAGTTCATCACAGAGACACTTGTGGAACAATTTCAGCATAATGCTCAATGTTAAATTAGACTGAATATTTCATCATCCACAGTTCATTATAACATCAAAAGACTTAAAGAGTCTACAAATCACATCTCATAAATTGAACATCAGTGATCTTTGATGGCTCTGCAGTAAAAACAGGTCTGATTCTGTTAAGGACATTTTTGTAATCAGAGACACCATGTCCTCCTTAGTTAAGAGGCAAGGAACCAGTCAGCCTATTATCAGCCCAAAGGTCAAAAAGCTGCCTCTCTGATTGTATGGGGGTGCATTACTGCTTCTAGCATAGGAAGCTCACACATCTGAAAAAGCATTACCATTGCAGAACAGTAAATCTGGGCTTTAGTGCATACTGTGTACTAGAATGCATATGTCAAAGTTTATGCTCAACCACCCAGGTACAAAATCCAATAATGGTCAGTCAGGTTAACTGGACAGTTTCGTTTTAGTGGAAAGACATTTCACCCTCTATCCAGAGGGCTTCATCAGTCTGAGGAGTCCCAAGTAAATTGTTTTTCCCACTATGCAGTACACTCCTTTAATGGACCAACCAGTTTGCTGGTGATAAAATGGTTTCTGGGGGCTGTCCCGCCCCTGGTCAACTCCTCCCAGGCAGGCAGCCACAGCCAAAGTGGTTCCAGACAAAGTTCATTTGACAAATATAATTAAAAATAGTATTATAACTCGAACCCCACACTCTCTGTTCTTGGAACTGAGAAAGCTTCGCGGATGAGAAGCGAAACATCTACTGTTAGAAATAAAGTCCAATTGTTTTTTGTCGTGAACTTTTTTTTATTTACCATGTCCTGGATGACTGAGAATCTTCACCAGTGTAAAAATAGTATTATGATATTTTAACTTTAATTCCATTATTGAAAATCCTCTCCAGAACCCAAACCTGATTTAACAACCCATGAAGGAATCCCAGCGTTTCCCCTAGATCAGTTCCCGTGGCGGGGCAGGACGGAGTCACGTCTGGGTTGCCCGCCCGCTAGCTTAGCATTACGTTGCTGACGGTTTTTATCGACAACGAGGGAGGGGGTATGATGGAGTCATGTCTTGTTTTATGGGCGTGTCTTACTGTTACGAGACTCTGGGGCGGATGCAGAACTCGCTGAAAGGATTATGTATCCTCTCTGGCTTGGGAACGCCTTGGGTCCCCCAGGAGGAGCTGGAGAGTAGGACAGGGATGTCTGGGTTTCTCTCCTGAAGCTGTTGCCTCTGCGACCCGACCACAGATGAGCGGTAGAAGACGGAGGCAGAAATGGAGACTTTAAGACATTACTTCTGTAGAAAACTTAAGTTGTTTTGGAAAAGTTTCATGGAACACATGCAACTATTTTTCTAAATTCATTTAGGAATGGACGAAGAATATATAGGATGAATATAATATAACATAATATAATAATAATAATATTTAGAACTATAGGACGAAATGAAGACTCAACGTGTCTGCTGGCTTCCTTCCTTCCTTAGATGGATAGCTTTACAAATTGGCTTTTACAATGTATGTGAATGTTTCTGTTCAGTGTTGTGACTTGGCGCTGCATAAATAAACTGAATGAAATTGAACTGAACATTGACATTTGTTCACACTAATTTACAGAAAAAAACAAAGCATTAAAACACTGCAACTTTTTTTTTTTTTTTTTAAAACACCAACAAAATTAGGCTTTTTGACATGCAACATAGACAAAAACATCCTAGAAGGCCAAGGTAAAAGTTAACGTTCATGACAAGGATTGTTTTAGTCCTGTCAATGTCCCGATTCCTTGTGGCTGTCATGAAACATTTAGAGAGTCGTGCAAAATGGAATGTCCACAAACCCCAAAGAACAGAACCTATGTTGAAAACAAAGAGGGGCCAAAATGTTCCCACTACCATGAGAGAAACTGATGAAGTCCTACAGAAGACCACTGGTTTTTAGTTATTGCTGCACAGCAACTTCTAATATACTTTACTTTTTGTTTGAGCTGTTTAGTGAGTCTTTTAGAAACTGCAAGTTTAAATTCTCATTCTGAATATTGAGCTACATTACTTGCAAAAAAATGACCTAAATTTATTTGTTTCCCATTATTTTTATCTGCGTCCTACCATCTGGCACGGCCTGGTGCTTCCAGTTTGCTACCATTTGTGTCGAACAATTAATTTGGCTGTGAATGTTTTTGTTTATTTCAAAACCAGCTGGATGAAAGATGAAACAGCACACCCGCTTGAATAATTATTAACAGATTGAAAAATGAGCATCTGCTACACAGGCACAATATTTATCTAAGATATTGCTGAATCAGCGCTCCCTGCAAAAATTTGTTAGCGTGGAGTTATAATGTTGATAGTATTTTGGTTTGTGTGTGTGCGTGTGCATGTGTACGTGCATGTAATGTAGGAGATATATATATATATATATGATGTAGAGGCAGGGCAGCCAACCCGGGACCCGAAAATCCTAGGTTCGATCCCCGGTCACTGCACACCTCGTGGTGTCTCTGGGCAGCACACCTCATCCCCAAAATGCCCCCCGGGTGCTTTCAATAGCTGTCCACTGCACCAACTGGTGGTGGATAGGTTAAATGCAGAGCGTAATTTCGCCATTGTATGGAAACATACAGTGATGACAATGTGATGACATTATATACATATACATATACATATATATATAATGATTATTTCCTGAAAGTTTTTTCAAAACTCGTCCAGTACAGCATGAAATATACACACACACACACACACATGTGGGGCGGCTGTGGCTGAATGGTTAGAGCAGTCGTCCTCCAATGCGAGAGTTGGGGGATAGAATCCACATGTCGAAGTGTCCCTGGGCAAGACACTAGGAATATGCGAAATGGCATAAAATTCATATCACGGTGCGTATTGTGAAGAGTGGTGATAACGATATATATTGCGATATGTTTTTGGTATAAAATTTGCAATAGGAATAAAAAAAGTATAGGGTGTCCTTTTGCCATCATATATTTTGAATTAAGAAAATTCCACTACTAGGTCCAGAGAGTTTTTAAATAATAAACAAATCAAATATTAGGCTTCTTTCTTGTAGTGGAAAACAGTGCAAAAGATATCAAATGTTTTAGCCATATGTTTTAAACAAAAGAATATGTTAACAGTTGCCAGTATTCTCACTTAAGAAATGAACAGCAACAGAGCAGCGACTGAAACACTTCACCCTCCAAACCTCTAGTGGGCGACTCCTTCTGCTTTAATGGAGAACTGACACAAAATGAGTCTGTGGCTTTGATCAGAGGGTCTCGCAGTAAAATCACACAACACAGCGTTCTTATCACAGATCAGAGAGCAGGTTTCTCTAAAGACGACCAGCGCTTACTTTCAGTGTTGCCAGGTGAGAAATGTAGGATTATCAGAGACATAAAATTATTGTATTTTGAAGGAAATTATTGTACACCCGTCATAACCAAAATAACAAATCTATTAATGCACTATAGTAGTGATGGGTCCGTTCCAGAACGGCTCTGCTTCTTCTTCTTTTCTTCTTTTCTTTTCCTCACTCATGGGGCGGGCGCAGCGGACTATTCAGCCAATCATGGCCGTTGTTCTGAGGCAAACGCAAACACGTCACTCGTAGGTCACATTTAGAAAAACATGATTGACTAGAATTTCCAGCCAATCGTGCATCTGTTTGCGGACACAGATGCCTTCAGGGTTCACAAAAAAACTCTGACAGACAGTTGCAACTGGCTGATGACAACCGATTACAACCACACATTCACGGAATGGTCAAATTATCGTATATTTGGCCTTTTTGGGGATTATTGATCGTACATCGTACAGAGGGAAAAATTGTCGTACAAATACGATAATTATCGTACACCTGGCAACAATGCTTACTTTAACTTTCGACAAAAAAAAAAAACCTTTTAACGGAACACAGCGTTTTGCACATGCGTCAGAATACGGCAACACTACGGCAAGCCGGGCGTAGTTAGAATAGAATAGAATAGAATAGAATAGAATAGAATAGAATAGAATAGAATAGAATAGAATAGAATAGAATAGAA